GAATTCCCCAGCCAGCATGGCTGGCTAGGGGATTCTGGGAGTTGAAGTCCACACATCTTCATGCTGCCGAGGTTGAGAAGCACTGGGACCTGGGAACCATTGATCCTGGTACGCCCTGCAGATGCGGGAATTCCCACAGTCATTGACCCCCCTCCTCCCAATTGACCCCAATTGATCCGGGGGACCCCTATAATCCTCTCCCTCTTTTTCTTTCCTCTCTTTCAGGGTTCAGCTCCCATTCTAGTCGTCATGGTGATCTTGTTAAACATTGGAGTCGCCATTTTGTTTATTAACTTTTTCATCTAAGTCAAGACTGTCTTGTTTGCAAAACTCAACCGATTAATAATAAAAACCAAGGTGTGTGAATGGGGATAATGCTGCGAGAGACAAAAGCGAGAACCATGTCGTCTTTTTGAACTGTCCTGCAACAACTTTAAAGTCTTTTCACAGAAGACCAACCACAGATTGAATCTCACTCACAGTTTGCCTTCCCCCCCTACCCGCCCTTCCTAGGTAATGTTTTGGATTTTAGCCCAAATTCTTTGCTTGCATAACCCTTTTGCTGTGTGGCATGGCAGAATGGTAACAGTGCTCCCATCCTCCCAGCACCAGACAGGATGGAAAGCGTTCCTCCAGGGGGGGGGTGTTTAGTCAGATCTCCACAGATGGTAGAAAAGTGGTTTCACGTGGACTCCCACGATCTTCAGATTTTAACTGAAGGCAAAATTCAGAGAGATGCAGCGGGCCTGGAATCGCTTGGTGATATGCAACGGCTGCCCCAGATTGCTAGAGGTGCAAGATGGGGTTACTCGAGAAAATCCCAGGGCGAGTATTTGCACCGGACTGGGAAATTCTTGAGTGGCGTCTCATCCCAAAACAAGAACACCCAAAGCAGATGGCACTATTAAAAAAAGAAGTAATGTTTATGGTAGAGAAACACGTCTTGAAACATTTGAACAGCCATACCTAGAAGAATAATCTGAAGCCCCCACTCCTTGTCTCTTCCTGAAGCCCAAATTTAATTTTCCCAGGTAACAGAAAACTGGCAAAAGTTATGCATAAAGTCACAAAAAGGATGCTGAGGCTCAGGTAAAATCCTGTACCTACTAATTGCACAATCTTTTTTTTTTTTTTTTTAAAGTCTTGCTCAACACATTTTTCATCATTTTTGGCCCGTGTTTAAAATTGACCCAGAAAGGCTTTTTTTTTTTTTTAAAGTCTTGCTCAACACATTTTTCATCATTTTTGGCCCGTGTTTAAAATTGACCCAGAAAGGCTTTTTTTTTTTTTTAAAGTCTTGCTCAACACATTTTTCATCATTTTTGGCCCGTGTTTAAAATTGACCCAGAAAGGCTTTTTTTTTTTTTTAAAGTCTTGCTCAACACATTTTTCATCATTTTTGGCCCGTGTTTAAAATTGACCCAGAAAGGCTTTTTTTTTTTTTTAAAGTCTTGCTCAACACATTTTTCATCATTTTTGGCCCGTGTTTAAAATTGACCCAGAAAGGCTTTTTTTTTTTTTTAAGATGACCAGATTGCACCGGGGTCGGCCTCTCTATTGGGAATGATGCTTGAATGTCCCCCAAGAGCCACCGTGGCCCCGTGAGGAACGGGGCACGGTGGCCATCCCTTCTTCCATCTTGCCATGAGCATTTCCAGATGTCAAGCTTGGCCTGGAGCATGTAATAGTTTTGCATTTTGTCTGCAGGATGTATATTCCAGCTTCCAACATATCCCTGTACAAAAAACCAAAACCAAAACTAGACAACAACAACAACAAAAACATTGTCAACAACAACAGCCTCTGAGTATGTAATGCTCTTTTTATAATTTGTTTTCTCTCCTCTATGTATCACTTAATTTTGGTATGGTTCAAAACATCTTTATAAGATGCCTGCCTTGTTCTTCTTTCTTCTTCTCCTCCTCCTTCTCCTCTCTCTTATTTTTGGGATGGGGCGGGGCTCTCACCCCCTCCCCCCGGTCATTCACTGAAAAGACACCTTCGTTTTTATGGACGCAGTAGTGCCTTCTGAGTTTCTGTTATACGGAAAAGGACAGAGTATCAGTTGAGTCCTGTTCAGGTGGGTCTGCAGGGTATGGCCAAGAGTTGGGAGGGCAGCTGCAGCACTGCAGTCAGAGCGCCAACTGTTTTCTATGTGCATCGCATCCCATGCGCAGGCGGATCTTTGCGCGTGATGCGCAGGCAGATCTTCATTCACGTGTGATGGGGAGATGGATCTTCATTTGTGTGTGATGCACAGGCAGAACTTTGCTTGCACTGTTGGCTACCACATCGACTGTTTTGGCCATGCCCTGTGGATGTCCCAGTTCTATCGCATAAGTTGGGAGGCCATTCTGTCTCCCATCTGCTTTTTGTGCAGCCGAGAAGGTCGACCAGGCCTCCAGCATGACGCTTTGCTTATACGACTTCCGTGGCATGCGTGGGGTCCCCGTTTCACTTCCACATGTCCTGTTGGTTGGGACGTCAGCTGCAAATCCGCATCCTACCCAGACAGGCACCACAGCTCCGTGTCCCTACTTGTATGGAGGAAGCCTGGAGCTTGTGTGGACGCTACGGGCCACTCAGAAGTCAGCGAGGCTGGAGCAGCACGCTTCACGATTACAATTTCCCCCTCTGCAATTCCAGGGATACTCACCACAGGAAGGCAGAGACCTTAGAAGGCGACACTGATGTCGTAACACTAACTAGGCTGGCTTAACTGGGTGCACCATCCCTTCATGTGGCTGGCTTGGCTCCCTGTGGCTCACATTCTAGCGGTCTCTTGAGCAGCATTTTCTACACCAGGCTTACGCTATATTGGGTGACCACACTTAAACCATCTTTTTCCCTTCTTGATGTGCTCCACACGCATATCAAAAAGCATCAAAAGCATATTGGTTCAAGCTGTGCATTAATGCCCCCCCCCATCACCACTGCATCCCTCTCCTTGCTAGGAATCTGCACAGCAACTCATTCTTTCGCTCCGTAAAATGGATCAGCAGTTTAGCTTCGGGGGTCTGTACCTGGGAGCGCTTGGCCTCCTTGCTCAGTTCTGTTTTGCGGATCAAGCCCCCATCTTTTGGAAGAACCCCTAAGCTTGGACCAGGTTCCAGATAGGCAGGGGTATGTGTGGCTTTGGCTCACGCGGTCTAAGAGCTTTGGGGCACCTTAAAGACTAACCATTATTGTGGCAGAAACTTTCATGCGTTTAGACAGGCCTTTGCCAGATGCATGAAATGGCCCCTTTATTTGGAAGATGACAGTAACTTCACAAAACAGATGAATAGGGCATCTGTTTGGCTTGCCTTTCATTTCTTCATCCTCTGTGGTTATGTGTATACACCAACACATATGTGACAAAGTGGACTGAAAAATATATGCCCTGGAAACATACGCTATAATAAACCTGTTTGTCTTTAAGGTGCACGAAATCTCTTGGCTTTAGATTTGCACAACAATTTGGTCTTGTGAACACATGCATCCACTATTTAATACATCACTTAAAAAAAAAAAAAAAGAACCTCGTTCACATACACACCAGAAAGACAAATCCATCAAGGAGCAGGTCCATTTGGGGGGTGTCAGTAGCATTAGTGAACACAGCTTCCTTCTTACATGTCAGGGAGGCATCTGAGTAGCTTTGCTGCCATAGCTGGCTTGTAAAGCTGGATCCAAGATGCCTGGTCAACAGCTGATGGTGGACCTGTGCCTGGGAACCGTGCAACCGAATTCCCATGCCTTCCCCACAATGCAAAAATTTCCAGCAGAACCTGCTGGGATTGTGGTCCCACATTGGCTGTCCAGTGAGGGGAATGCAACTTGATCCCTACTCAAGATGCTGTGCAATTATCAAGAGTAGGACCAGCTGTTGACCCCCCTCATGTTGCTCAAATCATCCCCATCTTTGGCCATTATCTAAGTTGGCAGGGGCTGCTGGGAGCGGCAGTTGGACAACAGCTGGAAGACTATGGCTTAACTACAAAGACTTTTGGGGGGAGGGGACAAAATAGTCAAGATGGCAGCCATGAATTTCTTTCAGATATGTTTCCTCTGAATTATGGGTCTTGGAACCCAAGATACCTGGAGAGTACAAGTTGGGGAAGGTCGCAGCTGTTCTGCTGCATTGCTTTATTCTATCTTGGGTACAGAAAACAAACACATGAGCTTTTGACCTTTAGATCAGTGTTCCTCAACTTTGGCAACTTTAAGATGGGTGGACTTCAGCTCCCAGAATTCCCCAGCCAGTCCACCCATCTTAAAGTTGCCAAGGTTGAGGAACACAGCTTTAGATGCTGTTAGGCTACAATTCCCATCATTAACTATTGGCCAGAGGAGTTGGGGCTGACAAGATTCGGAGTCCAATTTCCGGAAGGTCACATGTTTCTACTCCAGTTTCTTTTTTTAAAACAGTTAGAATTACCCATTTCATGAACCTCATGGAAAGAGTGCTGTGCTACAAGGGGTTTGGAAACAAGTTCCTTCCAATCCCTCTTCTAAGCAATGAGGCCCACATTGCAACCTTATTCTGCTCTTTGTATGCTCCCAAATCAAGACATTAGTAATTTTGTGGAAAACTCAATCCACACATCTACCCCGCACAAGCTGACTTTTTCAGCAGCCCTAATGATGGTGCCGAGAACAGCGCACTGCCAGCAGCTGACAATGAGAACTTGGCACATCCTGCTCAAATAAATAACTCATTAAATAGAAATATCACCCTAACGAGCAAAAGCATTTTTATTTGTAAACTCTTAAAATGGCAAATTCCAGCTTCCAGCCTCATGACCTCACCCATATGAGATGTGGCTTCTGTTAAAAGTTCAAGACCTTATTCCAGCTACTCGCTCTCAAAATGTTTTCTACTATGTCCACATCTCTTTCTCTTCTCACGCTCAGCTGGGTTCTAGCATAACTGAACATGCACAGGGCCATCAGAAAACTCTCTCCTCCAGCAACTACACACAACCACAACCCAGAAGTGCCCCGGAGACCCAGGAATAACTGTGACTCTCTGATGTAACTAGCTTTGCGACATGAGGAGAACGTTGTGGGGTGGATTCTCCTGGGGATCATGAATGCAGTCCTCCAGGAAGCACGACCTCCCTCCCTGTAAAGGGTTAGACCCAGGGAAAAGCCTGCCCCCTCTAAGCATTGGCTTTGCTTACATCAGTCAAGAACAATTTCAGGCGTTCTCAGCATGTGTTGATTACTTTACTCTCAAATCCTTGACTGAGAGAACCTCTTTAACAGAGGCCTTCTAAGCAATCAACTGCCAGTCAGATCCTGCACCGAGCACCCCTGTATGGGACAGGACTGGCCAAGCACAACCATTTGGCCCTCAAGTGTCTAGGCAGCACTTTCGTGGAACGTCTTCGCCATGGCCTGTCCCACCTTCACCGTCTTCTTCTCTTTGGCATCAGGGCCCATGTTCTGGCGGGCCAGATTCACCCAGTACTGCTCTGTCCTTGAAAGGTAGTCTGCAAACTTTTCATCCTGCTGCACAGGTGGATGTTCTTCCTTGTCTACAGTGGGATCAGGAGACAGGGAGAGAAAGCAAGCGGTCAATGAAGAGCTGCGACTGGAAATAAGGGGTCCCGCTGATGGTGTAACATCCTTTGGATCTACTACATTCAAGGGCAGCCATCACCCGCATGAATATTTATGGACTTTTGTATAATTATCCATCGATTTACCTAATTTATATTGAGGAACAGGTGGGTGGGTAGGTGGGTGGAGTACAAATTATAAGTAGGGAATGCAGAGCCTGGACTATGGGGGAAAAAGTTCCTGACTCTGACATTTTGAAGGGCTGCTAAAGAATTTCCTAGGAACTCTGGACCATTCCTTCATGTCGTGCTACTGGGGAAAGGAACAGGCAGACCGTCTGGATGGCAATGTTAAATTCTAGACAGCAATTCCAGCCTGCAGCCTTGGCTGAGTTATGTAACTTCCCCCAAAACAAATCTTCCCAACATTCAGCAACAGGTTTCAAAAATCTTTATAGAACAGACCAGAGCGCCAAGTTCTTCAACCTGGCACCCTCCAAGGAGTACAAAGACCCCAAATTCTCTGCCAGGGTAGCCTGGGAGTTGAAGCCGCAGGGCATCTGGAGAACATCAAGTTGGGGGAACACTGTCCTGGCTGGTTTTCCTTTCCACAATTCACCAAAGAATCCCCAATAGGTATGATCCATGAGATCCATCCATTGGAAAGCAAAACCCAAAGGGGAGGAACTGAATCTCTTCCTTTTCAGCACCCCCTGAAAACAGTAGTCTTTGTCCAGGGTTTTTCACTGCACTTACCATCCTCTTCACTCTCCTCCTCATCAGAGTCCTCTTCCTCCTCCTCTTCCTCTCCACCCTCAGCACCTTCCACATCTTCATCAGACTCAGACTCTTCAAGCCATTCCTGAGTTTCTGCCACAGCAGAAGAATTATATATATGTATATTTATATACACATACATATATACACATACAAATACATACAGAAGGAGGACATTCAAAATTAACATCAGCAACCAGTTGTTCCTTAAGAACTGTTCCATCCTCAAATTTCCATCAATCATCCATGTTAGCCTCTGAATTACAGACAATGCCCTCCAAGTTAATAGGAAAGATGCTTAAGTCAACCTGAGTCTATTTTCTGTTGTTTTAGAAACTAACCATGGAAACTAAGCAGGTCATATGTTGGCTTTCCTAGACTGGGGGTGGTGTGGGGGGGGAGGAAGCAACGGCACACATCTGGCATGGGTTACTCTGTGAAGCAAAGGTCTCATCCAAGCTCAGAATGAGCTAGACAAAATTACCCAAAGAGTGGATGATATATGTACGTTCTTTCCTGTTTATGTAGAAATATTTACACATATCTGCAATCTTCCCAGAAACCAAAGTTATTTTTGGGGTGGATTAAAGAGACAGTTCCTCAATGCAAAAAGAAAAGTCTGCTTGTCTAGAAGGCCAGCCCTAGCTGAAACTGGGTTGTGTCTTCAAAGGCAAAGAGAACATGGTCCAGGCCAAAAGGCACTGCAGGGATGTTGAGTGCAATTGGGCATCTGAGCTCTTGAAAGAGGAGTGCAATGAAGCCAATCCAGTCACCTCTCCTCAGGTGATGAGGAAAGACACCAGGACCAGCAGGAGGCAGGTCAAGCATGGGCTGAAATGTGCAAATGGAAGTAACTTCTCAACTCTTTCTATAGATAATAATTCTCATGGACAAGACATCTGTTCAAGCAGGGGGTCTGGCACCTGGCACAAAATTCAATAGATGGTGTGGACAATATCTCATGAATTATTGAAAGCTGGAGAGTTAAGGACAGTGCAAGGGCAGAAGTTGGACCCCACTGCCCAAAATTGCAGAAACTGAAAATATGATTCAGAGAACTGAACCTGAGGCTGGGAAGTTGGGTGTGGAGTTTGATTCTGGAGGGGGATAAATAGTGCTTGAATTCTAGGAGACAGAGCTTAAAGGGGGCCAGACTGCACTGTAAGAGTGCCTTTCTCAAAGTTTGAAGATCCAGAAAGGATTCTGAGTCCCTGGAGCATCTCTAGTTCTGCTGAAGTCTGTCTGGGGGACAGTCCATGATGGCTGTCCTGCCACTGGACCAGAAAAGCTCAGGGTTAGCTAAAAATGAAGAGAATCATGTATGAAACTCCAGGATTTCATGAAAGAGCCACTCCCCCTACCCCCGCACCAGTTCCCCAGTAATTCAAGCAACGGATAGGAAGGTTTAAAGTATTTCCAGCCCATATTAAGAGACCAGAAAGCACTGAGCACTCCTGGCTAGGATTAAAGGAAGGTGGCAGGACCCAGGATCAAGTGAGGCCAAGGCACGGTGAAGTAGTTCTTCCAGGGATTATGCCTGCTCAGAATTAGCTGCTCTGCCGGCCAGTTAGTGACATCTTGGGATATTCAGAGCCCTCAGCGTGAAGGAACCCCCAGTGATAGTCCCATCAGCTGTCTCTGAGTCACTCCAAACGGGCTTTTATCTCAGATTAACATGAGACCTGGGATAGAATTAAACCTGGCTGCCTTTCAGATTTTGAGGAACATCTCCAAGCCACGAATTCAAGGAATCTAAATCAGGCTTCACATTTCACTTGCCTCTTGACAACTGCATGCACTGGACTTCCTGCTTCCCCCTCCACCCCCAGCCCCCTTCAGTTGTCTTGTGCAGATGATTCTTAGCCCAGAACCAGAATTCAACCCCCTTTCTTGGCCTTGTGATAAAAGAAGTAGGCTAGTTAAATACATGGGTTGTCCTGTGCTTCAAAAGCCACATCTGAGTGGGCTGTTTCAGCAACAATAGAATATATTCAGCATGTGGGGAGAAGGAAAAGCACATGAGAACAATCACAACATTGAACCCAAAGAGCAAAAAACAGTAAGAGCAACTGCTATAATGTGATTGTGTACTTTCTGTGCAACAGACAGAGACACATCTGTTGCTCAGAAGAGTGCAGCTTTTGGGGAATGAGTCCTCATATGCTTTCTGGAGAGGGCCACAGAATGACCATGGAAATCTAGTACGTCAAGAAGGATTCTAGACCGGCCACAGATTAGTTGTGTATGTGTACAGAAACAATTATGGATTCTCTATGTCAGTAAGAAGCAAAGTTTTGCAATCCCAGACTTTATGCACCTTAAACCACTTTGCACAAAGTCATGCGTGTTATTTAGTTTCTCCTTTCTCAGAGGGAAAAGAAGTCACCAGAAATTCAGATTCCTGATCTTAGAAATATGGTCCAACCTTCCCCAGCTCCAGAATTCCATCAGACATTTTTCTACAGATATTTAAACTTCTTTTCAATGGCAAAGGCTAAAATCTTTGAGTTCTTTCTTTTAAAAAGGGGAAGACGAGACATGGTGAATTCTGCAGGTGCAGGGAATGAAGTGGAGACTGAAAACCTGAAAGCAGAACAAGACTGGGAACTTAACTTACTTGGGTCCATCTCCACAAGGACCTTCCACTCTTCCATTTTGTGGAGGTCAAGGGCATAGAGGTCGTTGAGAGTGAACTGGCGGTCACCCACCTCAAACATCCCCCCACAGAGGTAGAGCACCCCATGCTTCACTGCCAGCATGGCATTTGAACGTGGGCAGGGCTCCACTGGGGGTTTGGAGGCTTCATTCCCCTTGCCATCCTCTTCTCCTTCCGACTCTGCTGGCTCCCCTTGGGGAACTGGCATCAGCTGCTTGACGATCATGACAGTCCCGTCCTCTGCCACCACCTCCTTGACAATCTCCACAGGGCCTGGCGGAGGCTGCCCTTCCACCTCATCCCCTCCACCACCAGCCTGATCTTGGGACTCCTCTTTCGTTGTGCCTCGCCTTCTTTTCTTTTTCTCAGACTTTGACCCCTAGTGACGGAGAGAAGAATTTACCAGAAGGATGAGAAAATCCAGACGCAAGTACAAGGGATGTTCTAAATAACATTTGAGAACACCACCGCTATTCTTTTAAGATGCTGCAGTCATCTTCCTCAACCTGGGAGCCTCCCAATGTCTGGGACTACAATTCCCAGAATTCTCAGCTCCCATCTCCAGTCAGACTTCTGGCTGGGAAGTCCAGGAGTTGGTCCCACCACATCTGGAGGCCACCAACAGATTACATTAATTATATTTTAATAGAATTTCTCCTCTATCCAGTGTGCTTTCCAACTCCCCCTTTGAAGTGTGCTATCATAGCATGGTCAGAAAGACTACAGTCCTGCAATAGTGCTCCATTGTAAGGTGCGCGTAGGGATGTAGCACACTAGAAGAAGAGGCTTAGCCAAAATCCCTAGGTACTCAAGCATTCAAAGGCGTTTTCCAAAGAACACTCCAAGGGTGTCCACCACAACCATTTCTGAATGGGGAAATTATTTCAATGGAGGGAAATGTCCTTCAGTATCTCTACTTCTGAATTGCACAGCAGATAGAAAGCTATATAAGCAATGTAGCTTCCTTGTATTTCCTAAGTTTAGGTCTTTCTTCGTTTGGTCCCATCTTGTTGAAAATGTTGCCAATCTTTTTGGTTTACATGTGGAAGTTTCCAAAGGCTAGATGGTTTGCAATCAGCAATGGTCGCTTTAAAGCAGTGTTTCTTAACCTTGGCAACTTGAAGATGTGTGGACTTCAACTCCCAGAATCCCCCAGCCAGCAAAGCTGGCTGGAGAATTCTGGGAGTTGAAGTCCACACATCTTCAAGTTGCCAAGGTTGAGAAACACTGCTTTAAAGTGTTTTGTTTCACATTAACTTACAACGCTGTAAGTCAATATTTTCCCCTCTATTGCAAATGGAAGCTGAGGTTAACTAGCGTGATTGGAGATGGCCAAAGAACAAGGGAATAGAATTGGAGATGGCCAAAGAACAAGGGAATAGATCTTCAAGTTGCCAAGGTTGAGAAACACTGCTTTAAAGTGTTTTGTTTCACATTAACTTACAACGCTGTAAGTCAATATTTTCCCCTCTATTGCAAATGGAAGCTGAGGTTAACTAGCGTGATTGGAGATGGCCAAAGAACAAGGGAATAGAGAAAAAAACCTACTGCCTGAGATTTTTCCACAAACCTTTAACTGTCCAGGAAACCACCGATTCTTTGCCAGATCATAGAAATAAATGTCGTTGAAGAAGTCACCTTCAAGACATTCCTCTTCTTCTTCATCATGTACCCCACCAAAGAGAAGAGACCGGTTGCCAGGGCCCATGGCCACTGAGAAGCCAGACCTGGGTGTGGGCTTCACACCAGAAGGACTCACCCGGGTCCAGGTCCATTTGTCTGCCAAACACAGAAAAGGAGAAACGGGAGAAGTGGGAGATGGATGATAAGCACTGCAATGGGGAAACCTCTTTGTGGGACATGAGGAGGGTCTCTACTCAGTATGAGAATCTTTCACTGCTGAAGAAGGTCCCACGTTCAACCTTCAGCAGCCCAAATGATACAGCAGCAACGCATTCCAAGAGTTGCTGCCAAGCAGATGTTGCCTTTTGCATGCTAGATATCATGCAACGGTTGCGTCCTGGAACAAGATTTTGCTCTTTTTCAAATGACATGGGGTGGGGGGTGTAGAGAGAATTATTTAAAGCGCTGGCACCCATAACTGGAAAATGTGGGAACTTCTGTTGCAAGGCACAAAAGGGGAGCCAGAATTAATCTTCTTAGATTGCTGGCTCCTGTTCACCAGGTGGCCCAAGGCCTGCACTTACCCGAGCCTTCAGAATTCAAGAGGAACGTATCCGAATGGAGGGTCCCTTTGTCAACGTCCTTCTTAATTCGCTGCACGACAAAAGCCGTTGTGTTATATAATCATATTACCAGAACTAAGCTATCATCAAGGAACTATTTCCACAAATCTTTTTTTTTTTTTAATCCTTCTAGCCCTTGTTCTATTACATCCCTGGTAAGAGTAAAGTTTCAGGATTTTTGAGGGGTGAGATTCCTGGAGATTTGCCCCAAATTTCCACTGTGTGAAAAATACACAAAGGCATGCTTATGTCTGTCCCCAAATATTTTCCTAGGGGAACTTATGTTCTTGACTACACCTTCATCCTGCAAACACTTCAGGCATTCCTTACTGAAAAACAGGGGTGGGGAAGGTGTCCTCCAGATGTTGCAGTACTATAATGTCCAGCAGTGCCTACCATAGTGAAGGGTGGTGGAAACTAGTCTAGTAATACTGGAGGGCCGTAGGCTGACCAGTATCACCTAAGAGGAGGAGGAGCAAGTTTTAGGAAGCCCCTGGATCTAGACATGATGCTGAAAAGACAAACTTACTGATCCCTTTCAAACTTGCTCCAAACCACTTTGAAGACCTTCTAGACAGATAACTAATAGCAACCCTGATAGAAAAGGTGACCCTCACCTGCTTGGAATAGCCTCCATAGATCACGATGTTGCCCTCAGGGGTTGAAGCCAGATGGCAACCTGACCTCGGAGCTGGAGCGATCCCAGAAGGAGCCAGCTTAGACCAGGCAAATGTGTCCAGGTTGAAAGCATGAACGTCATTGTAGTAGATGTAATCTCTGGTTGAAGCAAAAGCATCAAACGCAAACAGTGATGGAAGGGGTGGGTGACAGTAGACTTGCCAACAGAATCCCCAGCAGAGCAGAACTGCACCTACTAGGCAGCCCGAGCAACAACGGGGCAGGCCTGACCCTCCCACCGTTCCACCTGCCCTAACCCTTCCGGGGTCTGTTTGTTCCCATCCTTGTCCTGGGCAAGCCCCGCGTTCCAGATGACAGGAGCTCCCTGTAAGTTGACTTCTGTTACCTGTAACTCCCCTTTCTGTCTAGTGGGGCATGCGAGGTAAATAACCGTAATAAATAAAACATAACATTCAACAAAAGACAGTTAAAGATTGATCTTCGACTAGCGGAGACGGAGAAGGTTCAACTCCTTTCTTGAGAGTGGAAGGAGTGGGGGCTGGGCAGTTGGGGAAGAAGGCTGCCCACTGCTTGGGCGTCATCATCCTAACGCACGGGGTGGGGAAAGAGGCTCCTCCAGGGAAAACCCGGTGAAGCTAGCAGGGTGGAGGGAGCAAAAATCAGAACCCCCCCCACCCCGTCTGCCCTAGGTCCCTTGGTGCTTGAGAGAAAAAAGATGGAAGCATCTTGAGGGAAAGAACAGGAGGTGTCTTGGGCATAGTGGGGGAGAAGGAACCCTTTCCGAAAAGGACAGTGGAGCAGACTAACCGGCTACTTTCATGGAAGCCTCCAAAGACAATGAGTTGCCTCTTGCTCACTGCCATCCGATGTCCGCTCCGCCCTGAGGGTCCCCCTGAAGCTCTGAAACCGAAGAACCAGACTCAGCAGCCCCTCTGATTTCCTCTCCTGGACACAGTGGGTCACGGCTGCTAATCCCGAGCCCAGCTGTCTCCTCGAGCCCTCTTCTCGTAGGCCACCCGCTTGTCACAATTACCGCCCCCCCCACCCTCCCCTCCCGGTCCAACTTGCTTCTCAGAAAGCCCACGCAGCCCACGCCCCCTCCTCCAGATGAACTCCAACATCTGTGCTGGGGAAGACGGCTGTGGGGGAGGCCTTTGTTTTAATGCTATTCTGACAGAGGGGGGACAAAAGAAAATCCACCTGCTGGCACTGGGGTTGGAGTCTGCAGAAGAAAAAAGACAGGGTGGGCCTTGGAGAAGGCGAGCAAGGGAGATCGAGCACCTGCAACATCCGGGGGGGGTCAAGGAACACCCCAGGTTCAAGATAAAATATGAATTTCAGTCTTGGCTGCTCACAAACAGGGCATTCTTGCTTCCACCCTCAGGCCCAGTAAATTAAGGGTCTCTGATTTTTCTCCTCCCTTTCCTGCTGGTGGACTTTTGGAATATATTTTACAGCAAGGACCTTGTGTGGAAAAATCCACTGGCAGCTGCTTGCCCAACTCTGAGTCACATCGTCCCTAATTTCTGTTTCCTTCTGATAGAAGCAACAAAGGAACCAACTCCTAGGCAGCTGGTGGTCTCAAAGCAACAGTGGGCATCCAGAGACCTGCACGTGGCTTGGAGCTGCAGGGACATCATGCCCACTCCTGGGGTCCCCCATTCTCCGTCAAAGGACTAGGGCAACCCTGTGCTGCAGCACACAAGCAACGGGTGCCTTCCAGGACTCTTTACTTACTTGACTTGCTCCCAAGTTCTGCTGGCCAAATGCAAGACCCAGAGGTCTTTGTAGTGGTAGAACTGCTCCCCATCCGGAGAAGCAAATTCCCCACCAAACACCCAAAGCTGTCCGCCGCCTTGAGCAACCACCACAGCCTGCCAGAAAGAAGGAGAGAGGGCAGCATTTGGGTCCTTTTCAACATGTAAAGCACAAGATTTTCTCGGCATCATTCTAACCCACAATGCTGTGTTGAACCACTGTGCTCATGGTAGGTTGGTAGGTAGGTAAGTAGGTAGAGAAGGAAGGAAGGAAGGAAGGAAGGAAGGAAGGAAGGAAGGAAGGAAGGAAGGAAGGA